AATTTAGTATTGTGTAGAGCCTAGCTCTATACAACCGCTCTCTCTCTCTCTCTCTCTCTCTCTCTCTCTCTCTATATATATATATATATAGGAAAGTTTATATAAGGATGCAACCTTATAATGTAGAACTACGGATGCACCTAAAAAATCCATTGGAAATGCTAGTTTTAATGTTCAAAAACACTTTGATTGATCATCTCTAGATATATGACCATGAAAAATAAAAAGATTTTATATCTCAGAAATAGCGCATTTTACAACATATTATCTACACCATCCATTTTCAAGATTTCCATATGTCTACTTGATTTTAACCATTTTTTAAATTTTAAATTTTATACTTAGAGATAAAAATAGATTTTGAGATAATCCTAAGAACACTTTACCATGATAAAATTTGAAGGTGCACCTTACCTCTACAGCTATGGATGCATCTGTATACCAACTGCACACACACACATATTGCTATGAGCTTGAAAAAATAACAATATAAAATTAAATGTATACCATCCAAGTTTTTTACAGTAAAATCTAAGGGTTAAAGAGCTCAAAATCTTTCTTTTTTTAAAAAAAAATAATCATCTGATGATTCTTACAGCTGGCAATAGACCAGACGCCCGATCGGCCCAGCCCTAAGAGAGTAGGGCCTGGGCAACAACCTGTGGCCCTGAGGGCCTGGCTAGGGCCAATGGCAGCCCAAGCCGTTGCCACCCAAAATGATTATTAAATGGATCTCAAATTTACATAATCCAAAAACTCTATCCAAGTGCATTTTTAACCCAAGGGAACAAAAGGACAATTTGCTCCCTCAAAAGTTATGTTTACGACCTTATAATATAATAAAATTTTGCAGGTTACTTTTTAAAATGAGTAGCTTATTACATGACAGGACCATAAACTTAAGTGATTGTATGCTTCCTCAGATATATGCTCCCCCAAGAATATTATATTTTGAATTTCTAGAAACACTACGATTTTTTTTTCCTAAAATACTCGTATGGTGATTCAAAACAGGGTCTAAATTTTCTATCGAGAAAATAATCCTTAGTAGGTATTTTCTATTTTTGAGAGTATATAACGAATATGCACTCGTGGGAGCATGCAATACAAAATTCCGCAATATTTTAGTACTCGTTTTAGCAATACTTACCGTTCATATTAAGCCTTCTCTCTCTCAATATTTCATAGTAAATTGTGATATAGTGACAACGAATAAACCAAATTGAAAACTACTAAATATTTCAAAGTAGATTGTAATATAGCGACCATGAATAAACAAAATCGAAAACTAAAAATCATATGCGTTTGGAACCTCTGGGGAATACAGACTGAAAACAACAAAACTCCACTCAAAATTAAAAACCAATGGGCTAATCCATCAAAATGATCAAGACTGATTATTCATCAACCTCATCCATTCTCAGGCAGTTATTACCTCATCAAATTTCCCAAGAAATTGGGTCGAATCTTTCTTTGTAATGTTGCAATTGTGTCAAATTTAATTGAAGAGTTGGCATTACACAGGAACTTTTTCAAGAGACCAAATGTTTGCCAGTACGAAAGCATAAGCATTCATTAGAAACAAAATAACCTCGTATTCTTTTCATTTTGGTAGATAAATTCAGAACTATTTAATTAAAAAAGCAAGAAGAAAGAATAACTAAGGAGCCAAGCTAGATTCTGAAAGGGTCAGAAACATTTCTACACAAAACCTTCTAATTACAAAGTAAGCATTATTCTCTCCCTCAATACATTTTAGGAGAAACTAGGCATGTCCATCATGTGCATCATCTCTCACAAGCTTTGTCCAAACAAGTTTAGGACAAATACTTGCCCAATCAAAGAAGGAAAAGTATCCCATCCACATCATGTGGACGGGTGCACAAGCACCCGTCCAATTGGTTGAGATCTCATATGGCCATATCCAAAGGCCGAAAATTAGCCTCGTATTTTATTTTTTATTTAAATAAGATGTTTATCTATATTTTGGTGTGCAATGTATTTTTATAAATACAACTAAATAAAAATGATTAAAAAATATTCTGAATAAAAATTGACCAAAATAAATTTAAACCATAATTTCAGATCAAGAATTTTTAAATAAAAAATAAAAATAGGAAACATCCATTATTGGCCCTTGGATGAGCATGGTTCCATCTGACCCACCAAAACGTGTCTGTGCACAGGCACCTTTTAGGCGTCCACAGCATGTGGACACAATACCAACCCATCAAAGAAATCAGTCTGCCTAATCAGCCATTTGAAGTCCTTTTGTCAATTTTATCACTCATCTTTGATCATTATAGGAGCATCGTGCTCAAGGTTTATCACTTAGAAGAGAGTTTTCCCAGGGGGGGTGCAATAATATGTAACTCCCCTCTTCTAGTTTAGAATAATCAATTTGAATGTCACATGAAATTGAGCAAATGCTTCCCTACATAATGTCGGTATCTCTTTCTAATTTGCGGATAATTGGAGAATACAGGTGTGCCCCACAAGTGTGAGAATGCGTACATGATCCGGGAGTATACTGGCAAGAAGAGCATATTTTTGCAAAAAGAAGTTTACAAAAGTCCAATCCCCTTTCCAACGGTTTTTTGAAAGCGAAATTATAAAATGAGACATTTACCTTTGGTACAAGGTGGTCACAATTAATCTTGACCATGGATGTGAAATTGGGTGGTCGTATTTATTTCATTGACCAAGCTCAACGTTCAAAAGAAATTTGTGATACACCCAAGCTATCATATTTTATATCATATCATATGGTTGTAAGTAATTGTGACCTCCAATACAAAAAATAAATGGTCTCATTGTATACAATCCCTTTTCAAAATTCAAGAACTTAATAGAAATTAATAAGGATTTAAGAGTAGAACTCGCAACTTTGAAAGCTGCAGTTTTTGTAGCCTGTATAGAATGACTTGAATAATCCCCATAAACTCAAAAACACCGAAGAAAAAATGAGAGCAACAAGAATAAAAAGAACGGAAACTTTAATGGATAAACAGCTTCTTTACATAAGCATGTGAATCGGCAAAGTGCAGTTAAATACAAATCCTCTGCAGTTTCACTAAAGTTCTACCATTACGTTACACATACAAATAAAAATAGCAATTACAAACATAGAAAAAGGAAAAGCAACCCCACCTTAAACTTATGGAGATAATTCAGGTAACCAACAATCCCACTCATTCGTGGAATAAAATAAACCTTACCCCTCATTTAATTAGAAGCCGCATCAGATTGGACAAGTTTTGATGAGAAGTCGGCGTGAGATGTGATGGCTACATTAGTTGAAATGGCTCGAAGAACAAGTTTTCGACCACTTTTCAGGCAAGGTGATGGTGAAAACTGCTTTTGAGGAGGTGAGACTCTCTTTTGGTTTGGAGAGGAGGATTTTACACTTCGTTCTGGTGAACCTTGGCCCCTTAATATTTCAGGTGTGTCATCTTCTTCAGGAACTTTTTGCAAGCTCTTTTGGCACACTACCTGGTGGCGCTGGCAAAATTCGGGGTTTGTGAGGGGTGCATTGCTGGAAATGTGAGAAGATCCGACAAGCTTTCTTAGGGCAAGGAAGCGGGAGTCTGAGGAGTAGAGGTGCTTCTCTTGGGTGAAATGCACATTGGGAGGCAGCCTAGAATATTAATAACCATAGAAATGAATAAGGCACATGTTAGGATGCTCAAATGAAAAGCTAAACAGATAACCATAGGATCAATATTAAAACACGGATTCCTTTAATTTCGTTAATCATAATGAGTAGTACTGAATCCTCAACAAGAAGATTAAAAAAAGAAACCACCAAGCAAGGGAATTTTTCTTCCCCAAAAAGAAATGATCCATGAAATGCTTGGGCCGCTTTCCATATCCAACATATTTTCAGTAGAAAGTTGCTGGAAAGATCCAAGTTTTAGAGGTTCTCCTCTTATAGAAATCATTTTGTTGTCACCTAGCCTTGTAGGATTTTGGCTTCTGGATAGTGGGGTTTTGCCAGGTTTTCTCCAACTCTATTTCCATACCATCTAGTTCGTTTTCATCATTTTTCAGAACATATCGTTTCCCTGGAAATTAATGAAGGCACAAAATCAGACATCAGAGTACAAACTTTAACATACCCGCCATATGGAAATGAGGGTGTTATTGGAGGTGTGTTTTCCAAGGACTGTCGTTCCTCTTGTGAGAATTCCACTAATTGCAGCTTTTCATCCCCTCCGTCATTTTCACAAGATTCAGTTTCTTCTACTTCCCCTTCACTCCCTCTATTTACCAAACTCTCAGATCCTGCATATAGGAAACGCATGAGTCTTGTCTTGCAACAAGATGCATAATTTCCTCAATATTTTTTCTTTTAAAAAATAACAAATAATGATTTACTCAAGATAACAACATATCCCCTATTTCTTGCAATGACCTGAAGTAGGACACATTTTCATATACTACATAATTTGATGTACACGATGCTTCATTGGTATCTATTCAGTCAAAGATTCACAGAGGATTACCATTAGAAACAACAGTGTTCCTGGAGGGGTAGCTCATCTAATTATTAATTTCATTATATATCCTAGACAGAAAAAATGGTTCAATAAACATGAACAGTGAACAAATCTCCAAAAGCAGCAATATTCAGGTTCTTGACAGAAATCAAATGCATTAACCTTCAGCAAATCAAAATACTATTTCATCACATCAGAACTACAAATAGGCCCATCAGTTCCCATGGAACCAGTAAGAATCCTGTGCTTCACAGAATCAAATCAAAATAGTAACAACGAGACCAAACCAAACATGAACACAGAACCCAGAATCTGAATGTGAATCGGAGTTCTTTCTGTTATATTATTATGCGCCATATTGGTTGCTTTTAGCAAACACAATGTTAAGATTTTTCACAAAAAAATATGCCATTTTCATGACGGGATCATCGATCAATAGAAGTCAAAATCTGAGGCTACATTTACATCATATAGACTCAACATAAATCCTTTGTTAAAGTGGTGCTCAATGCTATCAAAACACTATTCCAGAACAATTGCTGACCTTCTTTCACCCCAAATGTGTTCTTGCACCCTACACATCTGCAGCCATCGGAACATCCAACACGGGCCTTCATGACAAACAATTTTTCAATTAGAGAAAAAAGTAACCCAATAAAAGGAAGAAGATAAAAATGCCACCAAGATTTCTTTTTTGAGATAGCCATCAAGAATTCAGACTCGAGAGAAGATGATAGTTATTGTTATTACTAATATGATGAAGATGATGACAACCTGATAGCATTCGCAGTATTTCTTGAGACACATAGACTTCTTACAGTTGCAACCTCGCTTGTGTCGAGCAGAAGCAGGAGTCTTATTTGCTTCATCCTGCTGAGTATTCAAGGGAATCATAAGATTAGAGTATAGGAAGGACAGGGAGAGGTCCCCCCAAAATTTATCCAGAAAATGGAGAAGGGAACCATAAGAATCGTTCAGTAAGAATTAGAGCCACAGCTGAGAATTTTGCCCTACCCCAGGGTCAGGAGCAGCCTCAACAACTTTGACAATCTTGGGCGCAAAAGCTAGTGGGTTGCGAGATTCTATCTGTTGCCGTGTCTCAAGCACTACATCTACATTCTCAGGCTTGTTTAAGCACTCTTTACATGAACAAGATTCAATACAGTAGACTCCAGCAGCAAAACAATCACAATAACTGCATAGACAAGTATTAACTCATTTACTACATGCCACAATTAGGGGGAAGATGGCCCAATGTGATGAAATCTATGCAAGAACTTTAAACAAGAAAACAGAAGAGAGAAGGTTCACAGTGGTTCTACATTAACTGAACTTTTAATCACCACTACTGATTTTAAGAAAACTGGAATATGCTCTAACTTACAGCTTCAAGCACTTAGACTTCTTACAGTTACATCGCTTGCAGCCCTCCCCATCTAACGAGCTCGATAGTCTCTTCCTGGATGATCAAGAACCTTAATATTAGGATAATGTCCATGAAAAATGATAGAGTAAATGTCATAAACAAAAGTTTGATTAGATATAACAATCATGCTACGTGCCTCCTCTTTCTCGGACTACTTTGATTAAACTCTTCACCAAGGTCAGTTCCAGGCGCCTGGGGACCATCTTGAACAGCCAAGGATTTGTTGGCACGTTCCAGTTCCCTCTCACTCTGCTTCACAGGCAAAGTTGTACTCAGAAATCTGGGCCCAATTTTCATAGAATGAAAAGGACCAGCAGAGCTCGCCGTGGTGATAGGCCAGCTACTAGGAACCAGAGTCTCCTGTTTCACTTTCTCCATTTTACTGCTCTCTGATTTACTTGTAAGGCTATTCAAATGCAAACCAATACCAGACGGCATAACTGTCACTGATGATGGACGTTGTAAACTAAGTTCAGCTTTGGAAGGAAGCAGTTGCTTGTCATCAGAAGCCAAAACAGATGCAGAGTGGGTGGAGTCTGAAATATTGAGATTGGAGTTATCAGGAGTGAGAGCCTGAGATTCTGACTCAGGAGGACCAGATGCAGGCTTCCCAGTGTTATTGCCTTCAATGTTCTTTCTATGAGCTACTGCTGCCTCAAAATCAAGGCATCGCCTTAGCATGCCACGGTGGTGGAGATTGCCACCCTAAAAAGAAAAGTTAACAGTCAGTGTGTCAAACCCTAGTTACGCAAGTCTCTTTTTTTCCTTCATGGTGAAAATTAGAAAACATTAAAAACAAATTTGAGAAATAAAGGAGTGGCTCTAAAGCACTAAAAAACAGCAGATGACATCAGTTACAAGTAGAAAAACAAACCCAAGGACAAAACTCCAAAACATTCGGATACAATAGTTACTAACTGAAAATATGAGTAGAATGTCAATAAATTAATGAAGGAACAAGCATGTAAAGATGCACGCAGCGGCTGGCTATGATGGTAATGTGGAGCAGGATTGCTGCCAGGATACGTGTTCTAATCTGCAAAAGAGAGAGATAGTTGTATTTAGGGAAATATAGAGACACTTGGTTCCCAAGAGAGAAGTCTATAGTTTGAAACATCAGAATTTGGTAAGACTCGGCTGAGTCATTAAAGCTCCATAAATGTCGATAAAGTAGGCTCGGTCAAGTCTAAGTCTTGAGACTTGGGAATGGGTTTTTAATGGTGTGCATGAGTGTTCATTCACAGGTCGAGAAATTATGATTCCTGAGAAATAAAACTATACATGCATCTTGAGCTTCTCTCAAAAAAAAACTATAAACGCATCTTTTATAAGGAAGAATGGGAATTCAACCCAGAACAACAAATATTATCCAAGCATTACTAACATAGAAATACTTTCTATTGTAAGTGTGGAAAATCAAGTTGCCAAAAAAACAAAAGCATGATTGTGAAATTCATGACATACAATGTGAGGACAAAATCTATAATCCCTAAAAGAAAATTTGAAAAAAGGGGTCAGGGATCACTTCAAATACATCCAAAGCAAGAAAACAGACCTTCTTGAAGAAATCTCACGCTATGATATAATGGAGGAAATTAGAGATCTCACAGAGGACAAACGATACAAAAGGAACATAGCCAAATTGCAATTTTACAACACTCAAAAACAGGAACAAATGCTTCTGTACCAAAGAACCAATATCACATGGTTGAAGGAGGGTGTGGGTGTGCGATCTCCCACAAGACTACCAACTGCAGGAGGAGGAGCATGCCATCATTCTCATTAAATAAAGAGCAAGGATATACGAATCTCAAAGCGAGATCAATGTAAATCTCTTCAAAAGTCTACTCATAACAGAGCAAAAAACCAGGCCCTCCCACTCCTAGGAACCCTTTTTCATAATTATCTAAGGATTGCATCGAATGGCTTGAGAGACTATTCAAATAGGAAGAATCGAAGAGGTACTACTGGCAATTTTGGACCTAGGCCATGACAAAGCTCCAGGATCTAAGGGCTTCCGGATTGCTTTTTCCATCATTCATGGGATGCTATGAGAGAGGACATATTATATGTTCCTCGAATTTCATCAGCGAGGTATCATCAACAGAAGTGAAAGTTACTTCTTGGTCAATCATAACTGCAACCTCAATAATTCTTCAAGTAATGACCAATTTGAGGTCCAAAGAGAAATGTTGCAAATGGATCTTGGAGTGCATTTCAAATGCCTACTTCTTGGTCATCACAAACAACATCCCCAAGGATTCTTCGAGTCCTCCAGAGCGCTGCAACAGGGAGACCCCGTATCCCCCTTTTTATTTGCCATCGTAGCCAATTTTCTCAATAGACCCAATTGGTGGGATTTACAGCCAAGCTTGCTAGAGGGTTTCAAGACTTCACATACCAGACCTTCAATCACACATTCATGATATGCTGATGATACCACTGGTCTTTTATGACACCTAGAACCAACAAGTAACAACTTCACTTGAGATGCTTCAAAGTCACTACAGTCCCCCACATCACAAAAGAAAATAAAATCAAAATACAAATAAAACTTTGTGGTGTTGGTCTCTTAAAAGGATAGGCCTTTTGAACTGGATCCCAGGTTCATATGTGGAAAAAATTGCCTACCAAATAAGTGTTTGGGACTACCCTTGTGAATTGGAAAACCACAACAGACTATACAGGACCACATAGTTGAAAGAATCAAACAAAGAAGTGCAACATGGAACTTTTACTACCAATCGCTGAGTAGACAAATTACCTTAATCAAAGCTACTCTAGCAAGTATCCCGTTCTTTCACATGCCTCATTTCTGCATGCCTTCCTAACTCATGAACAAGCTTAAAAAGTTGCATAGGCACTTCCTATGGATAGGTGAGGTGGCAAACAAAAATTCCAGAGTGTAAGGTGGGCAAATTTTTTTCAAAACAATAGAAACAGGAGCCTAAACTTTGAAGACTTGAAGATGTCAACATTACCCTTCTCAGAAAGTGCAGGTGGCAATTTGCCACACACCAAGAACACCTATGGCACAAGAAGAAAGAATACAGATAAGGAGTTACTGCCTAGAGGTCCTTCTAGATCTTCAAGCGCGAACTCTTTAGGAGCTTGGAAAACGATCAGCCAGCCATAGACACCAGCATTTTATCAAAAAATATCAGATACACAGTGAGTAGGGAAAATAAGGCTAGGTTTTGTAAGGACCTCTGGTTCAAGCAGAGCACCCTGGATATGGCCTTCCCCAAAGTTCTGGTCTCTAATCTGATAGAGAAATTGTGTGGTCAGAAAATTTTGAAACCCCTGATTCAGCACAACTTTGAAGACAACAATGCTCAGGACCTGCAAATATTGCTTTCCCTCGTCAACTCCCACTTCTTTCCACTTCAAGGTGATGACAAAATTGTCTGGACCCTGATACTTCTGGAAAGTTCGTGATTTCTTCTTTCTTCGAAACCACAGTTGACAATCTTAGATTCAGTATGGCTAGCCAAGTTGGGTTTTTTACCTGCCCAGCACAATGTCCAAGCGTTTAGCTGGTTGGTGGCCCTTCACAAAGCATCCAAATACCAAACCACTGTATTGTGTGCCTGAAGGAGGAACCAAATGATCACATATTCACGTTCTGTAATACAGACACAACCCCCTGGTCACGTATTTTGATATGGTTTGATATCCCTCGTGTCTACCCTCAATCTTTCAGTGACCTGCTCCAATGCAGCCGCTCTTCTTCCCTACCCTAAGGGGGTAAAATTTTACCACAAATCAGTGCCCCTGCCATCATATGGACAAGATTTGAAAAGAAATGTTTGAAACTTCAAAGGCAAGACCCAATGACTACCAGCCCTAATTGATAAAACAAGAAATATCATCACATATTGGGCTCTTAAAGGCAAGACCCCCCATAACTACCAGTCTGAATCAAAAAAACCAAAAATCTCATCATATCTTGGGCTCTTACCAAGGAGTTCAAGATCTAAGCCAAATATTTTACCACCCATTGGAAAAGCATTATCCAAAACTTACCTCAGAATACCCTGAAATCCTCGCATTGAAAGGCCCCACCTGAGGGCTACATAAAATCATTCTGCAGTAGAGGAAACCGGACTCTAGCTAAATTCTCAGATGCAAATTCTACCCACATACTTAGGGGCCCATGCACTCGGTGATTCCAAAGATGATGAAGGCCAAAGCCAGCTCTTTGGGCTTCAGAACTTTAATAGAAATTAGGAGACATGTCTTATAACTGAAAGGGATTCCAAGAACTTTACATCATGGGCAGCCATATCATCAACACGCTCCTGGAGACCAGAAAAATATTTCAATCAAATTCTCCATTTTTGCAACGACCCTAAGCATGACTTCTAGGCACAGAGCTGCAGATAGGCTGGTAAAAGGAGTCAATGTCCACGCAACCCTCATCAACTCAACCCTTCCTTACCCCAAAATACCTAAAAACTATGATACTCACAAACCATCACACAATTTGCGGATTCAAACTTAAGAAATTACCCCTTTTTAGGGGCCAACACTCAAATTGTAAAGAATTTATATATAGGTAGTTGAATAGATATAGTTGGATAGATAGAGAGAGAGGGCGGGGAGGAGAGAGAGAGAGAGCATTCACCTTTAAGAAAGCAACCATGTGATAGTCTTCACCTGGGAATCATACTCGTATGCAGTCAAGTAGACATTAAACTATGGAAGTACAAAAATGAAGCAACAATTTATCATCATTGAGACATAATATAAGAAGTACAGGGTAGGTGCTAAAATGTGTATACATGTACAAGATAAACATTGCAGCTAAAAAAATGGTCCCAAACTTTCTGCCACATGCAACAGGAGTTGAGAAAAAAGATGTGTTACAAGAAGATCTGTATTCTTACCTTCAAACTAAATGGAATCCAGTGCTTAGGTGGACATATGGATCTGACATCTGTTTTGTCACTTAGATTACTGCTAGCTGGCAGTTGCTGGGCAGTGTTAGAACCCAGATGAGGTGTGTGATTCAGATTACTCAATTCCACACTGCCGCCAAATTGAGGAGCCGGATCATGCCCTTCGTGTTGGAAACAACTTACAGGTCCAATAGATTGCAAATTTGACCACTCATTCACAGTTTTCTGTTGAGGATCCAATAAAACCAAATTCGACCCAGCTGCCTTTTGGTCCATTGACCGTTCATCTGGCCTTATGCATGATTGTAGTCCCATATACGCATCAGTCACATATAAATCATCCACAGGGTCAGCATCTGAATTTACCCAAATGCATTGAGCGACATCATCAGTCTTTTCCTCAAGCAGAGTTACACTTGTCTTTTCGACCTTAACTTCTTGCTGCTGCATTCCAGTGGAATCCATGCCCTCTCTTAGTGTTTCCTGTGGATTCTCACAACTTGTATCCAAAAATTGCACAACTGGTTTTGGGGTAGCATCCTTATTAGACTCGCCTGCTTCGATATTGTAATGTGAAGTACCCATTTCCTTGAGACTGATATCTTGTAAATTTTGTGGGAGCTTGCCAGTCAGACGAGAATTCACATCAGGAGAATCAACATTGTCAATACCCTCTTCTGAGGAATTAACGAGGTACTCACTAACATATTTTGATGGGCTACATGAGGTAAAAATTGATGAACTCTTAGTGTTGCTGTTTTCATGGACAGAAGCATGAAGAACCTCGTAGCACATAACTTCGCGAGAAGCTTCAGTAACAGAAGAATGATCAGCATCTATAACTCCTAAATCTTCTCTCTTGCTCTCTCCATCTTCGTTGATAGAGCACCTTTCAACTTTCGTGACATCTGAGAACCGATGCCTGACAAGTAATGGTAATTCCATTTCAAGGTCAGCAAATATATGAAGCCATTGCTCGATATGGCAAAAGTAATAAATTGTAATGGAACAATAGTTGCCATACAACAACCCATAAAACAAAAAAGGGACAGTTACCTTCGTAAGCTGGACTCTGTCAGGGAACTAATGCGCGGAGAAGTGAACACTGCTGAAGGGAAAGGGAGAGTAAGCGAATGTACAGACCTAACCGGCTTGATGGGGGATAGATTGCATAGAAAGGTAAACAGAGGAGAACCCTGCAAACCACGAAACAACTCTAAAAACCATAATGGAAACAAAAACCAAAACAAAGTTCCTGAGTGAAAACAAACAAATGATGGCACAGCAGGTTTTCCCCAACAAGAAGAGTGCAGCCAATGATAAATTCCATGAAACAATAAGCACCACAGTCCCAAAACAAAAAACATATCACCTAGACCAGTGCTTTATACTGAAAGACTAAAGAGAAAAGTAGAGATTAAGTTCTGGATGAACCACAGCCCTTAATTTTCCTTGTTGCAGAGGAACTGTATGAAATAGCAGAAATGAAAAAACCAAAATCAGGTGCAAATGAAGCACCAGATATTTATATGCACCATAGACTATGATATGTAAAATCTGAAAGAAAAACAAACATGGCAACAAAATATGAACTGCCAAAAATCTCAGTTCAAGAAAATTAGTAAAATTTTGGTGGCAACAGTACATTTCACCAGATAAAAGAATAAAAAAAAAAACAATATGGATAATCCAATAGGAATTTTAATATATAGAAATTCAAAATTATAACAAAAAAAGTAATAATCAATATTGTAAAATCAAGTATTGCTGAAAAAACATGTTACAACATTTTCTTTGCCAGTATTGAAGAAAAAGCACTAACAACAGCAAGAAAACACTAAACTGACCCAAAAAGTTAAGTATTACAAATATTTACTATAAAAGATAAAGGCATGGCGAATATCCTGAAAAACAGTTCAGAATTTATCATTAAAACACAGGAAATGAACAAACAAACACATGCATATCTCAGCAAGTGGCCGAGCCAAGACAACTCGGATGGAACCCAGTTCCTTGAGAACTTCTTGAACATGATCCAAAAAAGATGTAGAAAACATGAAAAAAAATGCATGAGACACAAACTACAATGAGAAAGAAGAAAGGTATTGCCACCAAGAGGAGTAGGACGCTAAAGCTTCCTCAAAAATGACCATAATAATCACCACATACTTGCTCAAAGCAATGAAAAACAAAACAAACTAACTCAAATTTCAAAGAAAACATCCAAAAGCAAAACATGCATGTCAACATTACTCCAAAATTTATGGAAACTAACTTCAATTTGGAAAACTCAAAAGCATCAAATCTCAGGGCTAAGAAAACAATAGAGAGAGAGAGAGAGGTCAATGACATAGAACAAGCAGCGTCTCTATAAAGCAATGAGAAGCCCTGGTTTTCACAATAGCAAGAATGTCCTCAAAATATCCATAAGTCTTAAATATTCAAGTGGAATATAGAGATCCAAACAAACAGTGAATAAACTTTGTCAAAGATGACCAATGGATCTCTTCTTCCAACAACACACAAACTTCCACAAATTAAAATACTTACAGCAACCTTATGTCTGACTCAAATTATGCAAAAGTTTTAGGCCATCATCTTCCTAAAAGTAAATGAGAACCCCAAAGCTAAAAACCTACTATGTAAGAAAACCAGAAGCACCGAGAATCCACAAAACAGTAAAAACCACTTCGTCAAAATAAAATATTAAGTGAAAAAACCAATTATATTGTTTTTTAAAGGAAATACAGATCAAAAGGTCCCAACAGCAGTAGAAGAATAGAGAACAAATCAAATACTAATGGATTATAAACATCAACCCAAAATTTTGCAGGGATCATCAAATCATTTGTTGATCGTATGGATCATGCTCTAAACTGATAAACTGGGGGGGCGGGGGGGGGGGGAGGGGGGGGGGAATCATAAATGCATCGATCTCTGAAATTTACTGAAATGACTGATGCATGGACTGGTTTTGTTCAAATTACTTTCAAACCTCGTCAAACATGGATCATCAAGTCCAAAAAGCACACAAATTTGAAGGTAACCAGTGTCTCAAAGACCAACCATTACCTCAACTGATGCAGAAGCCTCCAAGTCTCGGCACTTCTCTGGCGTGTCCATGATGCACTGCCAAAGACAGGCAGTGCATCCTTCTCTCAAACCAGAAATCAATGAATGATCAACTGTACACAATCAGATCACAAACCCAAACCCTGAAATTTCATAAATGTCCCAGAAGCAGGAGCCAAGACCCTAAAAATTACAGCAGATTACATGCACGAGAGAATAAATACTACAAGTTAAAGGAAACCCTAAAATTAGAGGAAACCGGAGGCATTGAGAGCCAGGACGCTAGAACCGAGAGAAAGTCGCAGATGCAGGACATGGATAATGAAATATCGCGGATCTCCAGTGCCGTAAGCGTGAACATCGAGAAGATAGTCGCTGAAGCAGAAACTCTGAAATTAAAGAGAAGTTGCAGGAGGAGAAACACTAAAGATGAACAAATGTGGTACAGAAGAAGCATAATCCATGGAATAACTGGTGATCCAGGTCATGCTGAACCTGGATAAAGGGGGAGAAGTTGCAGAAGAGGAAAACCTAGAAATGGGGGCAATGTAGAGAGAGAGGAGAGGGAAATTTTCGAGTGGCTATGGGCGGGAAGAGCGTCTTTTTTCTCGTGTCGCGTACTTAAATACGAAGTGTGTTATTTCTCCTTGGGTAAAAGGAAAGTCCGTAAAAATAGAGAGAGTGTGAGAGAGAGAGAGAGAGAAGGGGAAAAATACAGAGTGAGTGCGTGGGCCGTTCGCCATGGAATCTGCAGAGTCAAATGCGATGGAAGCCACCTTTTAATACTTTAATTTTAAGAGCCTTATCTTTTGCTCGATTATTTTGACACCTTTAATTTTAGTGATCACACACCGTCCCGTACAACAGAAGAGATGGATAGTGACAGTTGTACAGGACGTATTCTGTTACTAGTAATACGAGTGTAGAAACTAGTCCCCTTATTGTATTATAATTTGCTTTCTTTGGTACGAAATTCCAAAGTTTCGGGACTCGGGATAAATTTCCCGACGAGTCAATGTAATTTTCTTTCTATTTTTCTGATATACGAGGACGTAAAAAAGGAGTTCACGTAGACTGTGTTTCCTCAGGACCTTAGTTTATTATGCTCCGTCGTTTAAAGATCTACTTGGAAGGAATTTTTCAATTTGACTTAATAATTATTAGGTGCTTGTTCTCTAAAAAAAAATTTAAATTTTGAGTTTTCTAATATTCATATCTCATTATCGGAAAATTGGATGGTTTATATTAATCTTGAGGCATTATTTTTTCAAGTTTACGCAAGATACAATTCAAAAAAACAAAAAAAAAAATAGAAGTTAGTTAGTCTATGGTTGAAAAGGTTAGGTCTCACACGCTCTTTAAAATTAAGGATTCTAAAATTAATTCTGAGCGAGATTTCACCAGAGGGAGTAAATGGATATCCTACTCCCATATACAATAATATTTTTTAGAAATTAAATTTATTGAAAAAAGTGTATATAGACCCAAGGCTCTAAACAATCAAATTAGAACCCACCTCAAAAATTTTTTAGAATATGTTGTTTTGATGCCCAAATATCATCAAATTGATCATCTCGACCTCAATATGCATGGACATGAGAAAAATAAAAAGATTTAAAGTTTTGGAAATAGTGCATCTTGTAACACATTTTTTTACCGTTAATTTTCAATATTTTCAAGTTTTTATTGATCTGTTCGATCTACACTATTTTTTAAGCTTTAAATTTTATAATCAAATATAAAAATATATTTTAAATTCATCACAAAGATTTTCAGTATTGAAACCACATTTATCGATACTATTTGAATGTGCGCTTTACTTTGATCGTTTAGAGTCTCGACTCTATACAAACCGCACCCAAATTTATTGGCAAGGGCTTTCTATGGGATATTGTAAATCCCATTGCATGGGATTTGGCTTAAAAACAGGAATATCGGGTGGTCCCGTGTTTGGGGAAATTTTCAGTGAAACGCATTGAGCGTTTAATTATTCTTGCAATGATAAATAGCATATGGGTGTTTCTTTATTGCTACTATTTTAGTGAATGTGGCCCCTAACCTACCATGTTAAAGAGGCTGATCATAATAACCATTGCTTCCAAATAGTAAAAAGAAAGAAAATTATCCAAAAAAACCCTTTTACATTGGGGCAGTTTGCCGATTTAAAATAATCGAAATAAGGTGCATCTCTAAACGTTGCTAAAAGATGTAATTCTGGTATCAGTAACTCTTATGGTTTGAAAATATATAATTATTCGTAATTACAAAATTTAGAGCTCAAAAAAGAGTACACAATAAGTCAATTTATAAAAAAATTAAAAATGTTGAAGACGTACGTTCTGGATAATAATGTGTTACAATATGAACTATTTTAGTTTTTTGCATCTATATATTTTGAGATGGGGTTGATTTATTTGAAAGCTTTACAATATTAGAAAAACCATTTTTCTTTTCTTTTTTTATGGAAATTTTTTCTTCAATTTTTTTTATATACCTTACTTTTATATGTTCTGTTCATGATTGACTTTACCACGCCCGGGCATAGCACTGTTCTTTACCTTCACCACTCATCGATGGTCCCCTCCATTGGAAACTTTTAATCTCGAATGCCCCACCACTTTGAAAGCCCACAAAAGTGATGCCCCCTCATTATTTTATTTCCTTGGTACTTAAATGCCATGATGCCCTTAGGACTTCCTAACCCTAACTTGACTTTTAGGGCTAAAATATTTTACATGCTTTATCTTGTTATGTGACATAAAACCAAATCCCATGTGACTTTCCTTGTTTTTTCTCTCACTTTTTGGAATGCTTTAGAATAGACAGTGGAGTAGGTTGGGGAGGCGAGCTAGTCAATACTGTTGATTCTCATGACTTTTTTAGCACTTCTCTCGTGAATCCAAACGAGATCATCACAATTGTTTCTTGCGACCGTACAATAAGGATTCTCGTTAGTTCGTTGGATGAAAAATTAGGTGGTTGGCATTTTGCTATTAATCGGACTCCTCTGAGTTTTAATGAAAATTTTTGAAACTTTCGAAGTTTTACATCTAATGACTATGGATAATTATGACCCTCTCATACCAAATGATAAATAAACATAAATTTATTATTCACTCCCCCAAAATCTATGCCACTTAGATAAAAAATTATAGATGAGTTAAGTGAGTAATATTGTGGTGCCAGTTAGAAGTTTTTCAAGTATCCTACGCTTTCTTAGTACTATACAATGAATCAAGTATATTTTTTGTACTCTATGTATGTTAAGCGAGAAGGAGACCCGCATTATTTTTGATGTGCCCCTCTCCCTATTATTTCTCTTTCTAAAAACAATTCAATAATTGTCTCTATTTTCAAAAGTTTCAAAGTCAAAAGTTCCCACCTAATTTATTTATCCTCTCCTTAAATCACCCTCTCAATCTCTCTTTCAATATCTCCTTAAACTATACGTTTCTTTATCTCTCTCACACCTCCCTTCAGTCATCTCCCTCTCTCTCCATGCACCCCCTCTCTCTCTCCCTCTTTCTGTCTCATATTTTTCTCACGATATCTCTCGTCTTTCCTTCCCTTACTAAAGTCTCCCTCCCTCTCTCTCTCTTATTTTGTTTTATTGTAATTTTGTCATATTTTTTTACTAGTCTTGTAATTTTTAGAAAATATACCAATTATTTTTCTCACGATATCTCTCGTCTTTCCTTCCCTTACTAAAGTCTCCCTCCCTCTCTCTCTCTCTTATTTTGTTTTATTGTAATTTTGTCATATTTTTTTACTAGTCTTGTAATTTTTCGAAAATTTACCAATTAATTATAAAGCTCTATGCATGGTCAAATTTTCAATACCCTTAAGCTAAGGTAACAAAATGAGTTTTTTATATTTGTTGTGATTTGGTGCGCTATAATTTTTCCTGTCGTTGGTTATTCAGCGTAATTGTATTTTTATTCATTATATTCATAAGTTAAATTTATTGTGTGATTCATGAATAAAGAATAATACCATTTGGATTGAGTAATTGTGGTTTAGTAATTTGAATATTGATAATAGTATTTTCTAATGAAAAAGTTTATATACAGTCGAGGCTCTAAACAATCAAATTTGAGCCTACCTCAAAAATTTCACTAGAAGAGGATATTTTGATGCCTAAATATCTTCGAATTGATCATCTCGACATCAATATGCATGGACATAAGAAATAAATAGATTTCAAGTTTTGGAAATAATATATTTTGTAACGCATTTTTTTACTGTCAATTTTCAAAATTTTCAAGTGTTCATAGATCTGTCGATCTACACTATTTTTTAAGCTTAAAACCCTATAAAACAAATATGAAAATACATTTGAAGGCTATCACAACGATTTTCAATAGTGAAACAACATTTTTTGACATTATTTGAAGGTAGGCTCTAAGTTGATTGGTTAGAGTCTAGGCTCTATACAAACCGCACCCTTTTCTAATTGTTGTATCCATTTTCATTACTATAGTTTGGCATACAATCATGACAATTATATATTTTAATTAATAGATTAGTAGAATATTGATTTGAGAATATCCATTAAGTATGACCATATGATGACACCTGTATGAATTAATGCATTAGTATCGTTCATTAGTAATGATGAAATATATATAATTAATATTTATCAAATAATTAATAAAATAAATTAATAAACACAATATATTATTATGAAGACTTATATTCATAATAATAATTAACATGATTATTAATTTGAATAAATTTAAAGTTATTAAAAATTTCAAATATTTATTTATTTTAAATTTTGCTATTATTATATAATTATTTGTTATAAATTCATCAATGAAGATTATGATATGTACATTGTATTATCAATTATTGATAATTACATAAATTCATTGATAAAAATAAACTTATAAATTTACATATTTTATATTAATTAATAATATTAGTCAATAAGAATTAATTATTTTGATTCTATTAATCGTAACTCATAAATATTATAATATTCATAACTAAAATAACTATAACTATTATTAAAAATATCAATAATGTAATTTCAATATTTTACTAAATATTATATTTATTAAACAAATAATTATAATTATCTAGTGTCTTAATATAAATGTAAATATTATTATAAAGATATGTTCCACGTTGATTGCCTTACTTTTGGGGCTACTTTTGGTCGACATTATAAATGTGATGAGTATGTATACGATGATTATAAATAATAATAATTCACTTAGTATAACGATATTAAATATAATTGGGTGAGTTTTGTCTAAGTTTGTCTAAGGTTGTTGCAACCTTAAACAATCAAATTAAGATCATCTCCAAAAAATTCCATAAATATAATTTTGGTTTAAAAATTCTTAGGATGGCTTAAGAATCTATTTTTATTTCTAATAATAAAAGCTTAAACTCCAAAATTTGTTCAAATCAAGTATATCTATAAACACTTTAAAATCTTCAAAATGAACATATAATATATCGTAATATATATTATTTTTATGACTCACATTCTTTTTTTCTTTTCATAGTCACGCATCTCAATGTCGAGATGATCAATTAAAGAGTTTTCAAACATCAAAACAACCTTTGAGGATTAGCCCAATGAAAGAAACAAAAAAATCTCTAAACCCAAAGCACCATAAGGAATAAAAAAGAGATTTAGTGACAATTAAACATTTAGGCAGCAAGGATTTCAGGGTAGGATTCAAATATATGGATTTGTTTAAGCAATTTGTTACTTTCACTCTAGACACATAAGTTTAATTAAT